CTACGTCGACGAGGTTCCCCCACCTGGGGCGAACATCGTCAGTGGCATGTGGATTTTCAGGGTGAAGCGGCCGCCGGGTTCTCCGCCTGTCTTCAAGGCGCGTTACGTTGCACGAGGCTTCAGTCAGCGACAGGGAGTTGACTTCTTCCAGACCTTCTCCCCTACCCCGAAGATGACCACTCTTCGGGTTCTGCTGCACGTCGCCGCTCAGCGTGACTACGAGCTTCACTCTCTTGACTTCAGCAATGCTTTCCTACAGGGCAGCCTGCAGGAGGAGATCTGGCTACGCCGCCCACCTGGCTTCACTGGGTCGTTTCGTGCAGGTACCCAGTGGAGCCTCCGGCGGCCAGTCTACGGTCTCCGCCAGGCGCCTCGCGAGTGGCACGACACACTGAGGACGACGCTTGCGGCTCTTGGGTTTGCTCCTTCTACTGCTGACCCGTCGCTGTTTCTACGCACCGACACTTCGCTGCCACCGTTCTACATCCTCGTGTACGTCGACGACTTGGTCTTTGCCACTGCTGACACTGCCGGACTGGCCCACGTGAAGTCGGAGCTGCAGAAGAGACACACGTGCACAGACCTGGGTGAGCTGCGCAGCTATCTTGGCTTGCAGATCACCCGGGACAGAGCACGGCGCACCATTACCTTGACTCAGTCACACATGGTGCAGCAGGTTCTTCAGTGCTTCGGCTTCGAGTACTCCTCGCCACAGGCCACTCCTCTGCCTACCGGTCACTCGCTCTCAGCTCTGCCTTCGGATGAGTCCGTAGAGCCGAGTGGCCCGTATCCAGAGCTTGTGGGCTGCCTCATGTACCTGATGACCTGCACTCGACCTGACCTTGCTTACCCTCTTAGCATCCTGGCTCGCTACGTTGCGCCCGGGAGACAACGACCAGAGCAGTGGAAGGCCGCTAAGAGGGTGATGCGCTACTTGTGCAGTACGTCGGGCATGGGGCTCATGCTTGGAGGACGGGCTCGAGTTGTCCTCACTGGTCACGCAGACGCTTCTTGGGTTGACGACTTGGCTACGCAGCGGTCGTCACAGGGTTACACTTGCAGCCTTGGCTCTCGCTCTGTTTCTTGGCGGTCTACCCGCTCGTCTTCTGTTCTCAGCTCCAGTTGTGAGGCTGAGATCTATGCAGGGGCCATGGCTGCACAGGAGTTACGCTGGCTCACCTACCTGCTGACCGACTTGGGAGAGCCGCCTCGTTCTCCTCCAGTTCTGTACGTCGACAACAAGGCCATGATTGCCTTGTGTCAGGAGCACAGACTGGAGCACAGAACGAAGCACATCGCTCTGCGCTACTTCCTTGCTTGAGAGTTGCAGCAGTGTGGTCAGCTTCGTCTTGTTTACGTGGCCTCTCAGGCCAACACTGCTGATATCTTCACCAAGGCACTTCAGCCTTGTGATCATCAGCGTTTCTGTACTTTTCTAGGCCTTGTGCCTACTTGGCCTCACTTGCTCACTTCTTGACTTTGCTTGTACTGTGATCTATATACATATATCTGCATGCTTACACTTGCTAGGTTGTGATCAGTGTACTGCTTGTTCTCCTTTATATATAACTCTGCATGTGAACTGGCCTTGTGGCCATTTGCTTGTGCTCAGAATGCGTGGTGACTTCGTGATCCACCCTGAGCTTGACCTTGCTTCGTTCTCTTGCTTGTCCCCCACTTTGCCTATGGGGGTGTGTCAGAACTATGCATTTATATGCTCTAGGCTGTAGTGGGGCACTCCTTACGGGGTACAGCCCAATTAGGTTTTGCCATACAAACCCTGTACTGCTGTCATTCTAGTCATCCTTTATTCCTACTTTCTGACAAGACCCGGATGCACTGGACATCCCCACCCCGCGTTCTTACGCAGACGCGATCACGGGTCTGTACTCCTCTCAGTGGCAGATAGCCATGGACGCAGAGATGGCTTCCTGGAAGTCCACAGGCACCTACGTCGACGCAGTTCCCCCACCTGGGGCGAACATAGTCGATGGCATGTAGGTTTTCAGGGTGAAGCGGCCACCGGTTTCTCCGCCTGCCTTCAAGACGCGTTACGTTGCACGAAGCTTCAGTCAGCGTGAGGGGGTCGACTTCTTCCAGACCTTCTCCCCCACCCCGAAGATGACCACGCATCAGGATCGTCATCGCTGGTGGCGGGATTGTCGGGCTGAGCCATGGCGGGGATCTGAGAAAGCCTGCCGAGCAGGAACGAGAGGTGATTTTGAGGCTGCTGAACTGGGCACTGGATGGGCCCAGTGAGCCGAAGCTGAGCTGAGGGGTGTGGATGAAACCCTAGCTCGTAGAGGAAGGCCCTATAACCCACTATGGGCCATCCATGAGTTGGGTGGGTGGTTGCCTAGCATGCACGGCACGACGAGGCGCGTCTGCCGTGCAATGCTGTGAGGAATGTTTCGTGTGTGTATGTTGCAGCATCGTGGTACAGGATGCTGCCAAAAGGACCAATCAATGCTCAGGGTGTGTGCCAACAGGTCTTGTTGGCACCGTCTGCTTGCCATCACCTTTACGTGGGTGGCAACAGCTGCAGCATCTTGGACACTGGTGGTGGTGGAGTTCGTGATGGCAGACAAAAGCTGTCAAACGGACCAATCAGTGCTCTAACATGGTGTGAGCTGGAGCTTACACCGAGGGAAACATCGCGCCGCAGGGCGGGGGAAACATCCAGCTGTACGAGGGAAACATCGCGCCGTAGGGTGGCGTCGCCCACAGAACTTGACAGTTGTCACAGATTTCGCGTGTTTGACGGTACAGGTACAATGTACCACCGCTGATCCTGGGTGTCGGCGCACAGGTATATTCAATCAGAGTCGGTACTCGTTTGTATTTTGAATGATCAGAGTACACTCCCGAAAAAATCTGAAATTCCAGAGTCCGCCTATAAAAAAATCTGATTTTTACAGAGTTGTGGCCATAAAAAATCTGAATTTCACAGAGTGCACCCTAAAAAAAATCTGAAATCTCAGACTTTTTCATGCAAATCAGAGAAATTTCTCTGGCTTCAGAGGGCCTGGCTACAGCTGTCTGTTTCCCGGAAGGAAGGAGGTCACGGTCGATCGCGATCGTCGAAGGCAAGGATCCGGCTGTACCAAGGAGCGCCCCCAAATTTCATCGCTGCGAGGAGCAACTACACGTTCTCCTTGCCGACTAGTGCGCAGCTCCTGGACCCCAAAGCATCATTCCTTGTCCCGTCCCCGAGGGGTAATACACTCTAAAAAGCGGGGTAGACTAGGAAAGTAGCTCTGATACCAGGTGTTATGGATGAACTTACAGAGTGGGCAGAATAACGAATAACGAGACTGAAATTACTGAATGACGATACGATGAAAGTGGCGACATTAAATATGGGGTTTCCTAGCCAGGCGGGAAGGTCGGGCGAAGGTGGCTCGGAAAAAAATGCGATCGGGCGTGGGTTGGGTGCGGAATTGTAGGCCAAACCATCTGATCTGACGCGCGGCCCTCGGGATGTCCTCGCAAAGGACTCCTAGAGTAAGGATTTCCAAATCCTTACAACCTTGACACCATTTGTAACATATGGAATTCAAATTCCCACCATTGGTTGGGAGACCCGCCCTGGCAGATGAGCTGCAGCGGTGCTTCCATTGCAAGGGTAGCTAGAACTCTAGTGATGCATTCTCACCTTGTCTCCTCCATACCACAACGCTCACGACATTCCATTATTTGTTTTTTCGTTTCTGGCTTGCCACCAGCTCCACTGCGGCCATCATGCACGCACAGTGCACACTATTCCGTCTATCTCCTCCTTCCACATCGATCCCCCGCGCTCGCGGCCGCCTCGTGACGCCTTTCGCTATCGCCTCGAGAGGCGGAAGAGACGAGGGATCAAGCGAGGACAACATGAAGCAGCCCGGACCGTTATCGAGGGACATTCCTTCCTTTCATATTCCGAACCCCCTTCCGTTCCGCTCGCTTGCTTTTCCCAACGTGCCTGAATTAAAATCCGGCGTTGCTTCTGTTGCTTCCGGTGCTTTCTCTCCTGGTGACGCGGACCCTTTCCTTAGCTCGACAGCAGCCATGGATGAAACCACTACGTGGTCCAGCCTTGCTGCTAGCACTCTCAGCGAGCTTGACGGTGTCGTTCAGAGGGAATCATTAAGAGAGGGAGAAATTGCACACGCGGGAGGTCGAGGGTTGGGGGATGGAGAAGGAGGAGGCGTGGGAGACGGAGGGGGACAAGGGTCCGGAGATAGGAAAGCAGGAGGGTTGGGGGATGAGAGAGCCGCGTTAGAGCGTGGCTCAGACGGAACGAGGCCAGCAGAACGATTAGCAGGACGGGTAGCAGCTACAGGTCGAGAGCAGACGGTTGGGGTGAAATGGCTGGCTAAGGCGAAGCAGCAGGCGCTTCAGCCTGAAGATGGGAACCGCGAGGAGCAGGGAGATGGCAAGGGTGTGGACTGTGGGGAAGGTAAGGGGAGTGAGATAACGGGTGACGATGAGGACGAGGGTGTTGATCTGAGCTTGGAGGAGGAGCGAGGAGGGGGGAATGAGTTGCCTGATGTGTTGCCTGTTTTGGCAGCAGATGTGGAGAGGTTTATTCGGGCGCTGGATGAGTTGAAGAGAGAGGCGGTGTCGCTTGGAATTCCGGGATATGCTCTTCCGCGTGTGGAGAAAGAGGATTTAAGGGTCATGGTTAAGAAGCTTGTGGAAGCTCGCAATGAGGTGTTGGGAATAATTGCGTCTAGATTAAGCTCTAATTTGTAATAGCGTTCTACAGGGAGGGACCTTATATGCATGTGGGTGAAAGCTTGGCTGAGCTGAACTACTTGCGTGCTAGTATTATTGTACCAATGGTTAGCATAAGGGTTCGTGTTGTTTAGGTGTAGTCAAATTTATGGAATCCTCCTCGCATACGAAAGCAACATCACGTGGAATTCAAGGGAGAGCACTTCCCTACTCCGCGAGTTCTACTCATTCCTGCTGCTCTGTCACTAGCAAACAGGGATTTCCAAGTTCCCCTTTCCCTCATGAATCGCCACCGTGGTCCCGCGAATCGCGCCGCCGCCGCTCACGCCGGTTGGCTGTCCCGCGCAGTAAGCGCTGTGTTTTCGGTGGTTGCCGTGGCGGAATTCGAAATTTTGTTTGTCGCGTTTCTTGTCCTCGTCTACCTCTTCGTCCGCGACCTGGTGAGTCCTGGACGACAGTCCGTACCGTATCATACGGTCCACTCGGAGTACATCCGTTAAGCGCGATCCTGTTCGTCGATCTTTGTCGTTGTTCGTGTTCGTGGATCCTGTTCGTTGATCCTTGTCGTCGTAATCAATTCCCAAAACACGCTATTCGAGACGTCGCAGACCTGACATCCTGGATCATGCATGTGTCGCGAAGCATGTCGCACGGTCAGGCATCTCGCACGGTCAAACATGTCGCACGGTCAGGCATGTCGCACGGTCTGACTCATGACGCGTTAGGGCTTGTTTCGTCGCCTTGTGCCGTGCGTGCTACTGCGCGTCATGCGTATGTCTTTCGTTCGGTTTCGACAGCACCCTCGCCACCAGCTCGATTTCGTGAGGCCGACTCCGCCGTGTCAGTGCCTCCTCCGTTCCTCTACAGGCTGACTCGCATTTCGTTTCTTCTTACGGTTAGAGTTGAACCCTTGCCTCTTCCACCCTTCCTTCCTCACCTCCCTCCCTCTCGCACCCCACCCCCCGACCCCAACCTCCACTCCCCCAATCCCCCCCTCCCCCCCCCCCCCCCTTCCCCCCCGGTTCCCCGTTTTTCCCCCTCCCGTTGCGTCGGCGCATCCAACGACCGCAGCTGCAGCAGCCGCGGTTCAGTGGGATATTTGCACACAAGTCCAGCCAGGCGGAGTTCGGGTTCCTCTTCGGCGGGGGGGGCGCAAGAGGGGGAGGCGCAGCTGGGGGGGCAGGCGGGGCAGGCGGAGCCTTTGGGGGAGGACAAGGCGCGTTCTAGATTGTGTCGGTTGGGAGCCTCTTCTTTTCGTCGCAGCTGCTCCTGCTGCTGCTGCTGCTGAGGGGGAGGGGAGGTGGAAGCGAGAAGGGGAAGCTGGGAGGGAGGGCGGCAATATTCATACATTTTCAAGTTCAACCATCATCAGGACGTACATTTCCTCATCTCCTTCCGCACCGAGTGCCGGCGGCAGGTGGCGCGTGGCGTGGGCAGGGCACGTGTCCGTCTAGTGACTGGCAGGCAGGCGTCACGTGGCAGGCAGGCAGGCAGGCAGGCAGGCAGGCAGGCAGGGAGGTCCCCCCCCAGTGCAGCAGCCAGTGGGGAGAGTGTGTGCCCTGCATTGCCAGGCAGGCAGGCAGGCAGGCAGGGACGACACCATGTTTCGCAACACATTCCAATCCGGATTCCTCTCAATCCTCTACAGTTTAGGGTGCGTGCAGAGTGCACCGTCGCCTGCTCCCTCTCCTCCTCTCCTCTCAACTCGACCCCTCACTCCATACGCATGTACCCCTACCTCCCCCCTCCCCTCCCCCTTCCCTCCCTCCCTCCCTTCTCCGTCCCTTCTCCCCTCACCCCTCTCCTCTGCGTCCCCGCCGTCTTGTGCTGTTCTGTTCTTCCTGTTTCCCTCCTCTGGTCCGGGCACCTGCTTTGCTGTTCCCTTGCATCCATCCTTGCACCCTGCTGTCTGTACTCACTTCCTTAGCCCACCACTCTCTTCCTTCTCCTCCCAGCCTTCATCGCCTGTTCCTCTTGTTTATTCTAACCTGCTCCTGTGTTATTTGTTGCGTCTCCTTCCCCTCTCCCCGACCCCTCTTGCTTTGTCCGTTTTGGAATGGGTGCCTGCGCTTGCGTTCATGCGTGTGTGGCTGGCGATTGGGTTTGCATGCGTATGTGTGCGTCTATGTGTGTGTGGGGGGAAAGGGGGGGGGAGAGGGCATATCTGTGCATGCACATGCATGAATGGGGGATGTGGGTGGATACGGCGTAATGCTCATGCCATGCCGTGCTATGCCGTTTGGTGCCACTTCATGCCATGGCATTTCTTGTGCCACTCCACTCCACCGCTGCCGTTCGGGCTTCATGCAGCACCAAGCCCCTTCAGTTGTGGGCCAAGGAAGGTACGCTACGCTACGCTACGCTGTCAACGCCATTGATCCCATCCCACTGGTGCCATGTGTATTCCATACCATTCACGCCAGTTTTGCTCCTTGACCGTTGGCCCTCCCACATTCACTCCACTATCCCACATACTATCCGATGCTCTCCATCTCTCTGCCCCACCTCTTCCTCATTCTCTCCATATCCCTCTCCCTCACCTTCTCCCTCTGCTCGTTTTCCACCCCTCCCCCTTCCACCCGCCATAGCCACTCCTCATTCAACCCAACGCTCTACCCCTCGGACTACCTTTCCCCCCATCTGCCATTCCCGTCTCCTCCTCCCTTCCACTCTCCCATGCACTCACCATCCCCCCCCACTCCCCCTGTCCCCGCTCTCCCCACTCCTCCTCCCCCGTAATATTATCCCACAGAGGGCGAGGGCACAGTGAAGCGAGTGACAGACGCGGATATCCTGTCAGCCGCCATTGTACATTTCCGAATCAACTCAACCCCCTGCTTTCCCCCACCCTCTCCCCCACTTCCCTCCCCCCCCGCATGTGTACCTCTCTCCTGCAGAGGGCGAGGGCACAGTGAATCGAGTGACAGACTTGGACATCCAGTCAGCCGCCATAGAGCTCCTCTCGCCCAACATCCGCTCCACGCTCATCGCCCCTTCCTCCCCCCCCCCACCACTCCCTCCCCACCTTCTCCCCCGTCCCCACCCTGCGTCCCCGTCCACACTCCCCCCGTGCAGAGGGAGAGGGCACGGTAAAGCGCGTCACAGACGCGGACATCCAGTCAGCCACCATAGAGCTCCTGTCGCCCAACATCCGCTCCACGCTCATCGCCTGCCCTCCCGACCCCGCGGCCGCGCTGGGCATCAAGCTGCCGTTCCTGGTGCTGGTGCTGAAGCCCCTGGACCGCTACTTCTCGTTCGAGGTCACCGTGATGGACGATAAGAATGTGAAGCGGCGCTTCCGCGCCTCCAATTACCAGGTGGAGGGACGGGGTAGAGAGGGGGGAGAAGGGGAGAGAGGGGAGGAAGAGGTGGGGGATGAGGGAGGGCGGGGATGAGGGGAGGGAGTGGGATAGTTGAGGGGTTGAGTGAGAGATGAGCTGTTTGGAATTAAAGGGGGCCCCTCTAATCCTTTTTTATTTTAACCCCCCATCCCATCTCTCTTTCCCATCTTCCCCCCTCCATCCTTCCATGCTTCAGTCGACCACGCGGGTGCGGCAATACTTCTGCACAATATCTTTCATGAATTCTCGAGCCAACCCCCCTTTCTGCTCCCTCTCCCCCGCCTACACTCCCTCCCCCTTCTGCTCCTCCGCTTCAGTCCACCACGCGCGTGCGGCCGTTCATATGCACGATGCCGCTGCGCCTGGAGGCGGGGTGGAACTCGCTGCTCTTCAATCTCGCTGACTTCACGCGCCGCGCGTACGGCACGGGGTACGTGGAGACGCAGCGCGTGCACGTGCACGCCAGCTGCCGCCTGCGCCTGGAGGCGAGCTTCGAGGCAACTTAAAGCCCCATGAATTCCCCAGTCCCTTCCTCCCCTCCCCTCCTCCCCCTCCCACTGTCCAGTCCACTACTCGAGTACGTCCGTTCATCTGCACGATGCCACTCCGTCTGGAAGCAGGCTGGAACTCGCTCCTCTTCAACCTCGCTGACTTCACGCGGCGTGCGTACGGCACGGGGTACGTGGAGACGCAGCGCGTGCACGTGCACGCCAGCTGCCGCCTGCGCCGCATCTACTTCTGCGACCGCGTGTACTCCGAGGACGAGCTCCCGCCCGAGTTCAAGCTCTTCGTTCCCTCCAAGGTGGGTGCTTTTTGCGGTTGTTGACACAGATTGCATTCTCGAGACGCCTAAAAAGAAGTCGCATCTACTTCTGCGACCGTGTGTACTCCGACGACGAGCTCCCGCCCGAGTTCAAGCTCTTCGTGCCCTCCAAGGTGCGTGCGGTGCGCCTGTTTTGACATAGCTCAATACGTTTGCAACGTGCATGTACGCAGACGACGAGCTGCCTCTGGAGTTCCAGCTCTTTGTTTTGAGATGGCTCAAAAGACCGCGTCTTCCGCCGCGGCCGCATGTACTTCTTGGTTAACGAGCTGCCTACAGGGTTTAAGCTGTACCAAGTGCTGTCCAAGGTGGGTGGGTGCACTTGCAGTTCGACAGGTCGCGGGCTCTCAGACTCGCAGGCTTCCCATGGTCACACCTGGCCTTTATTCTCTCACTCACACTAAATGCTCATGTTCAAGCGAGCGCATGGGCGACTGTCTTTGCACGCATGGACATGTGCAGACACACAGATGTGGATGCATGTGTCTCTGAGCAAACACGCCCCCCATCGACCTGCACTCGTGTATGCATACCCAATGAAATGGTCTTGCGTGACCTTCCTTGCTATACACTACTGTTGCTTTGCTGCAGGTCAAATAAACGCCATGCCATCTTCATTCTCTAGGAGCGCTCCCCTTGATTTTCTCTTTTGCGTCCGCGCCCTCGAACCTGCCCCGCTTACCCTAGACCTGCTATTTGGAAGTAAGAATGCACGAGCTGCCAAACCCTATTTTTTTTTTCAGTTACGGTAGGTTTAATTACCATGAGTTTATGTTGTAAATGTTCCTCTGTTGGTCCACAAGTGAGTTGGGTCCAACGATGGACGACAGCCAGTGGAAAAACGACAAGTCGCATCACCGACCAGATTTTCAAAGTTCCAACAATGTTGGGAAATGGCCGATTTGGCCAATGACTTTGCTTTGCGCCACTTTTTTCACGCAATCATCTACGCACCATCAGCCAGGAGCAGGTTCCTTTAGAGAATAGCCTTTGAGACGCCAGCGAATAGCGTCGCGACACGGTCGATTGAGACTTCAAGGCAGATGCCAGCATCTCCGCTTCTACCAGGGCTCCGCCCTCAGCGGAAACTTCGATGGGCACTCAGCTGGTGACGTCATCACTGCACTGCATTTTTCCCGCTCGTGGAGGAGCAGACTCTCGTTTCGGCAATCCCGTTGCGCCAGTCAGTCTGCCACCTTCGGCCCTCCGTTTCCGCCTCCTCCCCCGTTGCGCCAAGGTTTCCGCCAGTGCTTCTCTCGAGATCTCCTCTGCTCTCCAAGCAACCAACCAATCAGCAAATCTCTACTTGTTTCTGTGCTTCACACTGGGAATAAAGCAGAGGCTTTTTCTTTTTATGACACACCACGAATCGGTTTGAGCGTCAGCATAACGCACGAAGGTGAATTTGCGAGCTGTCGATTGCTGCGACGCTCTACGTTGCACAGATCCAAGAGAACCCGTGCAGAACACAACCAGAGACCTACCAAGTCTAGCACCTCGGCTTTCAGGCACCCACGTCCACACCGCCGTCGCAGTCTCCAGTGAAGTCGGTTGTTCAAGAAGCGCCATGGCCGATCCTTCAAATGAGATCGAGAGCGAGCCCATTCTGCGGCCCAACCCGCAGCGGTTCTGCATGTTTCCGATAAAGTACAACGAGGTGTGGGAGTTCTACAAGAAGGCGGAAGCCAGCTTCTGGACCGGTATGATACGACCCTCTCGTAGTCTGCTTTTGTGTCGACTCAAAAGAAGCCAGCTTCTGGACCGGTACGATGATACGACCCACTCCTAGTTGCGTCATCGACGGGTATGACGGTATCATCGACGCGCGATGACACTTTCTTTGCATTCTTTGCACGCTTTCACTTGCTAAATCTTTTGCATTCAATATCCCTGAACGCTACAAGATGCATTCTTTACTACGCTCCTGTGTTACCATCTGTTTCCGTGCCGCTATCCCTATCGCCTGTCGCTGGTGCTTCCATCCAGGTCGAGGCTGCCGTGCGCCTTTTCCCGTCTCAACCACACTCTCACACTCTTTGCGTTTGCATCGCCTTTCTGCGTTCTGTTGCCTTTGTGTTTCCACGCGTTATGCGCCACGCGCCACGTGTCATGACGGCAGCGGAGGAGGTGGATCTATCGCAGGACGTGCAGCACTGGGAGGGACTCACGGGTGACGAGCGGCACTTCATCCTCATGGTGCTCGCCTTCTTCGCCGCGTCCGACGGCATCGTTCTCGAGAACCTCGCCGTGCGCTTCATGAAGGAGATCCAGATCCCCGAGGTACCGTACCGTACCTTACCGAAGATCATGACCGTCGAATTATTCTCGCTAGCACTGCCAGAAGACAATTCTCGCGCCGCATTAAGGACACCATCGCTGTCTGCTGTTACCTCCAGAGGGATGCCTCCTTCGTTCTTCGAACAACTCTAACAGTTCCTACAGAGATCCTGGCATCCCTGGCTTCGCACGCATGTCACTTCATGCGTCAGCTTTCGGGATGGAGAGTGTGCTAGGAGCCGCGCCACGGGCGGTTTCCTTCTTAGCGTTTCCCACCAATTAACGTGCGTGTATATCGTCTCCCATATTGTCACTCTCCGGTTGCTGTCACTCTTTGCTGTCACTCGCAGGCCAGAGCATTCTACGGCTTCCAGATCGCCATCGAGAATATACACTCAGGTACGCCCTCGCGCCGCCCGCCCTCCCCCCTTCCAAGGCGCTTTCTTGCGCCGTTTCCCGCTTTTCAATTTCCACCCGTCTCCCTTACCCGCTCCCCGCGTCCCCTTTCCGCGCCACCCAACCGCTCTCATCCTGACAACCGCTCCCATTGTTCCACTCCCAATCCCCACTCTTCCGTCCCCCGCTCCCCTTCCCTTCCCCCCTCCCCCTTCCCCCTCCCCCTTCCCTCTCCCACCCCCCTTTCTCCCCACCCCCCCATGGGCGCGCAGAGATGTACAGTCTGCTGCTGGAGACGTACATCAAGGACCCGGACGAGAAGGACCGGCTGTTCCGCGCCATAGAGACGGTGCCGTGCGTGCAGAAGAAGGCCGAGTGGACCACGCGCTGGATCGACGGCCACTCCAGGTCAGCCCTCATGTGTGATATGCGGGGCTTTCAATCACCCCATAGTGCACAGAGTCGTGGCCATGTTTGCAGCTTTCAATCAGCCCATGACGCGGGGAAGAAGGCCGAGTGGACCATGCGCTCGATCGACGGTCACTCCAGGTCAGCCCTCATACGGAAGGATTTCAATCAACGCATGACGCACAGTTTCTCAGCCTTACGTTCTTCTCATCACGGAATTATTCTCACGAACGCTCTACGCTTCTGTGAATGCCTCCGCCTCCCTCTTGGCCTTTCCTTACGTCCCCTTCACGTCCCCTTCACCTCCCTCCCACCAGCCCACTCACTTTCCCGCTCACCTCCCTCTTATTCGTTGTGTGTGCGCGTGCGTGTGAGCAGCAAGACGAGCTTCGCGGAGCGCATAGTGGCGTTCGCGTGCGTCGAGGGTATCTTCTTCTCTGGCAGGTAACGCGCTGCTCCATGCTCTGCCAAACCGTGCCGTGCCGTGCTGGGCTGTGCCATGCCATGACCCGTGACATGTCCTGTTTGCCCCGCTTTGCTCCCCTCCCAGCTGCCTTGCTGCCCTGCCGGCTTGCTGCCATGCTTGAAGCCCCTCTCTCCCCTTCCTCACCCCCCCACAACCCTTTCCCCCCCTTTCCTCGCCCTCGTTTCTTTCCCCTTCTTCCCCTGGCCTCCCGGTTTCCTCCTATTGGCTCCTCCATCAACCCGTGCCATCTGTAAAAGTGCGAGCTGAACTCATGCATCCCCCCCCCTTTCCCTGTTCCCTCTCCTTCCCCGTTCTCCCCCCCCCCCCATCCCCCCCACCCCACCCCCTCTTTTGTGTCAGTTTCTGCGCCATCTTCTGGCTGAAGAAGCGCGGGCTGCTGCCGGGTCTGACGTTCTCAAACGAGCTCATCTCCCGGGACGAGGGCCTGCACACCGACTTTGGCTGCCTCATCTACTCGTGCGTGCTGTGGGAGGGCGGGCGGGTGGGGCTTTTGGGCATATGGTGGTTGGTAAGAGGCAGGCAGAGAGGGAAACGGGGATGAGGGCCTGCACACCGACTTTGGCTGCCTCATCTACTCGAGGGAGGAGGGAGGGAGAGGGGAAGGGGTTATATGCCTCAAATCCCGTCCCCCCTGGGCACGCTGCTGGAGGGAGGAGGGAGGGAGAGGGGAAGTGGCACGCTGCTGGAGAACGAGTTGTCTAACGAGCGGGTGAAGGGGAACACCTGAGACCCACCATCGAGACCTGGAAACAATTTACAGCATAACCGGTCGGTCGGGTTGGTTTCCTGAGAATGCTCTGCGTCGTCCCCTTCGTCCCCGTCGTCCCCCTGGTCTCCCTGCGCAGGCTGCTGGAGAACAAGTTGCCGGAGGAGCGTGTGAAGGAGATCGTGTGTGACGCACCATCATTCTTAAGACAGCTCTGACATCTTGTCCCCCTGGTCGCCCTGGGCAGGCTGCTGGAGAACAAGTTACCGGAGGAGCGTGTGAAGGAGATTCTGTGTGACGCGGTGACGATAGAGGAGGAGTTCATCCGCGATTCTCTCCCCACGGAGCTGGTGGGCATGAACGCCACGCTCATGTGCCAGTACATTGAATTCGTCGCCGACCACCTGCTGGTACGCGTTACGCTGCATGTGCTGATGGGGAGTTTACGGGAGTATGGGGGGAGGGGAGGTACGCTGCTCACGGAGCTGGTGGGCATGAACGTTCTGCCACGCTCATGTGCCAGTACATTGAATTCGTCGCTGATCACCCGCAAGGCCCACGAGGAGGGCACGCTAGTCGTGGGCCTTGCGGGCAGGCACCTGTGCGGTGCTGCACTCGCGAGTGTGTGTGTGTACCATGGCCATGTGGTAGGATTGCTACTTGGTGCCATTGCCATGTACCAGAGTCGAGTTCTTACCTGCGTTCTCGTTTCTGGCCTATCTTTGTGGTTATTTGCCGCACCACCTGCTTGCTTCGCTGTGGCGTTTGTCTCTGTTTCCGCCCGTCTTTCAACCAGCCATTTCCGCCTCTTTCTCCCTTGGCTCTCTCGCTCCTGGGACCCGTGGTGATTCAGATTGCGCTGGGGTGCAGCAAGCAGTACAACGCCACTAACCCGTTTGACTGGATGGAGCTCATTTCATTGCAGTGAGTCGCAACACAGCTCGCACGCGTGCTTGTCACTGCTCTACCTGCTCTAGATTTCGCCTCAGCTCAGCAAGTTTCCACGACCATGCGTCCACCACCGTGCGTCCACCGCCGTGCGTCCACCATCACCATAACAATCACCGTTACCACAATCATCACCCACCACCTTCCCCCTTCGCACCCTCCCCCTGCCCGCGTCTCAGGGGCAAGACGAATTTCTTTGAGAAGCGGGTGGGTGAGTACCAGAAGGCGTCAGTGATGTCAGGGCTCAACGGGGCACCAGGGCAGGGCAGAGTCTTCAGCACTGAGGAGGACTTCTGAGGGGGGCTGCTTTTGAGATGTCTCAAAGGTGTCTTCCAGAAGGCATCAGTGATGGTTGGGCTGAATGGCGCACCGGGACAGGGTAGAGCCTTCAGCACTGAGGAGGACTTCTGAGGGGGGCGAATGGGCTGGGACGGGTGGTGAATCAGGATGAGGTGCAATAAGGGTCAATTGAGGAGGGCAGGGTGTAGGAAGATGGTAATGGTAGACGAGTGGTTGGAGAAGAGGTGGTGAAGGAGGGGGAAAGAGAAGATGGTTGGGTGGAGGAAGGATGTTGATACTGTATGCAAAACCAAGGAGACTGCATTGATCACATGACTCTTGTTCTGCTACACTGTGTTTGCCTTGTGGCATCCACAGATTAAAAAGTTATATGGTGGAAGGTTTATAGTGGGTCCTTTTCTGTACCAGAATGCCACTTGTAGCCCGAGCTGTAATATTATTTTCTGTGAGAAATCATGGGTTGCAGATAAATTCCTCCCTTATAAATAAGCTGCTATAATGTTTAAATGTACAACTAGCCATGTGAAAAGTAATGTTATAGTATGGTGGTGGAACTGGCAGATGAAGCTGTTTATGTGCCGGTCTTGCAGCAGCTTGACTCTGTGCCAGGCAGACCAGTCATAGTAGAACCACTGGCAGGCATACCAGTCATAACAGAAGCAGTTCATAAATACTGCGTCAAACAACCACTACAGGAGACACTGTTGTGATGTGTACCAGGTATCACACCTTATTGAAACACAAACAGCACCACCATCCCATGCTGTTCGCTTCACCCCACACCACTTTTCTCCACCTCACACGCCTCCCAGTGCCGCTGCCCGCTCCTCCGCAATCCCCCTCTCCGCAGCGATTCTCTCTTCCGATGCCTTGCCTCCCCCCAGGTGCAGCAGGGAGGACACGTGTGCGACGGAAGGGAAGCGAGTGAGTCCGTCCACCTTGCTGGCGCTGTCCGCCTGCCCCACCAGGTGGTCCCAGCGACCGAGCAGCAGGAAGGCAAAGAGCAGCAAAGATGTCGTCACGCCCAGTGCGATCTCGTACCCCTGGGCGGTTGCCAGAAGGGGGGGAAAGCGGGAGAGTGGGGGGGAAGGGGAGGGGGAGAGGGTGAGGGGGTGGTGGGACATGGCGCAGGGATGGCAGGAGGAATCCTGTCGTCTGACGCCTTGAACCCGCCCAGGCGCGATTGTTTGGTTACCAGGGGAGGGTGGGGGGAAGAGGGGAGGGGAGTAGGGGCGTGGGGGCGTGGTTGTGTCTGGCGGGGGGTGGGACAGGGAGCAGGGAGGGGAAAAGGAATCGAGGTGAGTTTTGAGGCGAGTCAAGAGAGATGTTGTAACGAGAGATGATGTTGTAACGAGAGGTGATGTTGTAAGGAGAGGTGATGTTGTAACGAGAGGTGATGTTGTAATGAGAGGTGATGCTTGCAGTGGGACAAGGCACGGGGAGGGGAGGAAACGAGAGGGGAAAGACGAGGGGCAAACGGGAAAGACTAAAGGCACAGAGATTTCTTGGAAAATAAGAATGAGAGAAGGAGAAGAATGTGTGTGAGAGAGAGTGAGCGAGAGAGCTTGTTAAAGCCAGGGTCTCATGTAAGCTAAGGAGCCATCGACTGCAAAGCACTTGAAGCTAGGTAACCAAGTTAGTGCTGGCGAAGTTGTCTCTGGTTGGGTTGGAAACTCAGCTTGCGTCACTGCCCCAAAAGCAATTGCACAACACTTTTGGGTACTTGAGACTTTCGATGAGTTGGGGGCATTTTAGGTTTGGCTCCGAACCAAGTTTCCAAGCCTAGATGGTTCGGTTACCCCCAGCGATTTACGTTCGCTTCGCACCCCTCGCTTCACCCCACTTCTAACCTTACACCTCGCCAACCAATCAAAGCCACACTTCCACCATCAATTGCAAAGCACTTGTAGTACGTGAGACCCTGGCTTTAATGTGTGCTCCCCGCACCTGCAAGCGCCCACGCACCTGCATCGTTCCATCCGTTGCTGATCAGCACACACACACGCACACCCACCTGCACGTTCTGGTCCGTCTCGTGCTCGTAGAGGCCCAGCCCCAGGAAGAGCACGTACCACCCCATGCCCACCGCTAGGATCCCCAGCAGCCAGTGCGCGAAATACCACGCCACACGTATCTAGAGGGGGGAAATGGTTGGTCGGACAAGGGCAAGGGGAGGGGAGTGGGGGATTGTGAAATGGCGTGTCGAAGCGCAGGCCGAGGAAGAGCACGTACCACCCCATGCCCACTGCTAGGATGCCCAGCAGCCAGTGCGCGAAATACCACGCCACACGCACCTACAGGGGAATGTGGGGGAGGAAGGGTGGGGGGGGGTTGGTGTGGGGGGGGGATGGGGGTGTGGGGGGTCATGAAGTGGCGTGCAGGGGATGCCCAGCAGCCAGTGCACCAAGGCCAGCAGCGGCCGCTTCTTTTCCGACGTCTGAATGAATCCGCTTCTTTCTGAATTAGCCTGGCGCCCCAAGTCATTCGGAAAAGACCCCGAAGACAGCGGCTGCGTGTCTACTCAAGCGCTTCAAGCCGCGCGCACCTTATTCGCCTTGCGCGGGCGAATAGAGACACCCCCGCGCGCACCTACATATTCCCCTCGTGTGTGCCGCAACGAGAGCGCACCTACCTTGTTCCCCTTGTGCGGGCGAATGACCCCCAGCAGCGGCTGCGTTGACTTTTGAGTCGACTCAAAAGTCAACTCACTGACAGTGTGTCGCAACGAGAGCGCACCTTGTTCCCCTTGTGCGGGCGAAAGACCCCCAGCAGCGGCTGCGCGAGCGTGAAGGTGAAGACGGCGATGCCCATGCGCGCATGGAGCGACTCCGTGGCCGCCTCCGCGCCGAACTTCCCCACGGCGATGAAGAACCCGATTATTGCGAGCATCACCGCCAGCAGCTGCAAAAAATCAAGAGGAGGGGTGTGAGATGGAGGAGGAGCGTGAGAAAGCGAGTGGAGCGACTCCGTGGCCGCCTCCGCGCCAAACTTCCCCACGGCGATGAAGAACCCGATCATCGCGAGCATCACCGCCAGCAGCTGCGGGGGGAGATGGGGGGGGGGGGGGTGGGGGGGAGGGTGAGTGGACTCAAAGGGCACGAGGCCGCCTCCGCGCCGAACTTTCCTTCCCCACGGCGATGAAGAACCCGAACATCGCGAAGTGAGGGAGCGAGAGAGAGCGCGAGGCAGCGAGGGAGCGAGAAAGCGAGGGAGTGGGGCAGCGAGAAAGCGAGGGAGCGGGGGAGCGGGGGAGCGGGGGAGCGCACCTGGATGCCCCAGTGAATGGCGAACCACTTGGGCGTGACGGTCTGCAGATGGCGCGCCGTGATGAGCCCCACGGGCATCAGCAGCCCGTACGCGAGCCACATCAGCCACCCGTGCACCTGGGGATTGCCGAGGAGGGCCGCGCACGAATGGAGAGAGGGGGCGGGGAAAATGGGAAGAGGAAGATGGAGTTGGGGGAGGGGGGGGGTGAGGGGCAAATGGAGCAGCCCGTACGCGAGCCACAGCAGCCACCCGTGCACCTGGGGATCGCCGAGGAGGGGCGCGCACGAATGGTGAGAGGAGTGAGAAAGACGGGGGGTGGGAATGAGAAGCCCGTACGCCAGCCATAGAAGCCACCCGTGCACTTGGGGATTGCCGCGCCGCGGCGGGAATGAAATGGGGAGGGGAGGGGGGGGGGGGATGATGGGAAGATGGAGAGGGCGCGGGGGGGGGGGAGGGGGAGCAGCAGCCCGTACGCCAGCCACAGCAGCCACCCGTGAACCTGGAGTTTGCCGCGCCGCGGGGTGAATGAACGGGGGGAGGCGTGAGATAGATGGGAGAGGAAAATGTTTGAGAATCTCAGCAATCGCTCGGAATCGTGGGAATGAGAAGCAAGCATGCCAGCCGCAGCAGCCACCCGTGCACCTAGGGATTGCCGAACCGGGGAGGAGGCCAGACGGGAGCGGAAGAGGGAGATAGGGAGAGAGAGAGAGGCGGGAGAAAGCGAGGGAGACGGGGAGAGGGGGGGAGTGGGAGAGAGGAGAGAGAGAGCGGGAGAACGATTTGGAGAGAAAGTGGGAGAAAGTGGAGCGAGAGGGAGAGACGAACAGAGAGGAAGCGAGAGAGGGGGAGAGGGAGGGAAAGCGGAGAAAGAAAGAAAGAAACGGGGAGAAGAACGCAAAAAGATGGACGCGCACAGTTTCAACGGTCGTCTGGAAAGGCGTGCATAAGCTTCTCTGAGCATTCTCAAGAACCAGCTTGTCTCACAGTTTCAACGACCGTTGAGTTTTTTCTCGTCATGGCTGTGTGTGGCCTCCTATCCCATCTCCGCATTTTCTAGTTCGCCAGTATTTATGGAGCGCACCGGAAACATCAGTCTTTTTGGGAGGGGAACCCCACCTGACATTCTCAAACAATTTTTTACGGCAGCGCACCTGAAACAGCGCGGGATCAACTGTATCCTCCTCTCCCTCCGGCTCCGCAGAAGGCGGAGGAGCTGCCGTGGAGTTCGAGGCCGACGAATCGGCAGCAGAGGCTCCGAGGCAGAAGAGGGCGATGCAGGCAGCCAGCATTACTACAGAGATTAATATCCACCGCGAGCTACGAGCCATGGCGAGTAGCGCGCGTTCTTGGATATGGGACGGGTGTAACTACGGATTTCGACGGTCGAACTTGGGTGATTGGGTACTCCTAGCTGGCCGGCCTTCACCAAAGCAAGCCGCGAAGGCGTGGAGATCGCCAGATTAAAAAAGGGGGAAAGCAACAAGGTTGTTCGTAACGCAACGTTCATGTCATGACGAACCTTGGTAATGCGGCGAGCGAGGAGTATTGTATTGCATTTGTGTGATGGGTAGAGGCAAGGCAACGAACAAACGAGGGAAAAAATACAAGGGAAGGTATGGGAGCATAGCATAGCATCATACAGCAGACTCCCTCGATTTGCTCGGAAGTTGTTTGATGTGGCACTGACAGCGAGCAAGATTCCCGCCACTGACCAACTTTCAACCAATCGTAGAAAGCCGTGGAGGGAGTCTAGCCTTTTGCGACTTACGAACAGGAGGGAACCCCTGGAGATCGCGTGTCGTGTTTTTTTTTTTTTTTCAGAAATCGACGGCACAGATTTGTCAGTGAGGACATCTGTCAGTCCAGCGAAGAATCGCCAGCAACTGCTCTGCTATTGTGAGATGGAATTGTGGAACTTTTGGGGTGCGTGTGCTGACGTAAGGCGTGCAGACGATCGCCGTTGGGTGGGAAACAAGGTGAATCTGGTTTGGAGAACCAGTCAGTGGTGATCTTGGTGACTCAAAAAGAAGTACCTTGGTTTAAGCTATGGCAGTCACACACCTCAAAATCGTAGTTTTCCAAGTTCAGTTAGAGGTGGTGTTGTTTTTATGTAAAACAATGCCATCTCTTCAAGGACAAAAAAATGGCCCGTCTCACATCTAAACCTCAGAAGTCTAGCAATTGTGCCAGACTGGCAGTATTTGGCGTTATACTACAACACTTCCAAATCAGGTCTAAAGAAGTTCGTGACCTCCCTAAAGAAGGACCCACATGTACCAGCGAGAGACCTTGCCTAGCATAAGCGTAAACTGCTAGCAAATAAAAAAAAAACCGGACTGGGGAAAGCAAAGCAGTGAAAACAGGAAAATAATAATAATCGAAAATAGAAAAGGCTTCTTACATTCCAGACCAGGCTCCCTGTGCACCTGCCAGCCTTCCCCTCACAACGACGCGGTGCGAGTAAGCTCTCTTTCTGCAGGTCGCTGCCTCTGCTGGTATTTCTTCAGGTGCCGCCGCACCGACGCTTTCTCAGCAACAGCAGCCATGGCTGCACTCACATGCATCGATGCAGTCACCGCCACCGCTCTCAGCTTCCCCAGCGACCGAATCTGCTGCTGCTGCTGCTGCTGGTGCTGGTGGGTGCTGTGACTCATACTCCGGAAACTCTTCGGCCCAGCAACACCGGCTTGCGTCTGCGAGTGCACCAGGGCCGTGCGTGGGCGTGGAGGGGAGTGAGAGCACAGGTCCACAGCAGATGCCGAGCTGATCCGCATCGACTGCTGCTGCTCGTCCTCCTCTTCTTCTTCCTGGACTGGGGATGTGCCAGGGGAGCCGTTTGGAGATGTGTTAAAGGAGGAGGAGCAGAGCACAGCTGTGTTGGGCGCCAGTACAACCACAGACGTGCTTTCGTCGTACGAGCGCGAGGGAGTGAGGGCGGTGCCATTGGGAGGTAGGCGATGGAAGTGACTGTTGCTATTGCGGGTAAACGAGTTGGTGCCACTCGTGCTGCTGCTGCTGCTGTTGCTCGTACCCTTGCTGGTACCTGTGCTGGTATCTTTGCTGTCTCCTGCTTCCCCACCATCAGTACCATTCACTCCGTTCGTTTCAGCTGCAGCAGCAGAATCACCACCACCGTTCGCAGCAGCAGCAGCAGCAGTTTCGGCAGCAGCGGCGGCGGCGGCAGCGGTGGCAGCACGGGTGGAGGTGTAGGAGGCGACGCGCTGCTGGCGGAGCTCCAGTGCTGCTATCACCGTCACCTTCTGCCGCCGCCGCTGCTTCGCTATGGTTGCCATCGACATGCTTCCCAGCCGGTCAAACGCCACCTGGTGGGGGCGCAGAGGGGTGGAGAGGGATGGGGAGGAGTGGAGAGGGTGGGGAAGAGGAGTGGAGAAGGATGGGAGAGTGCGCTGCCTCGCTATGGTCGCCATCGACATGCTTCCCAGCCGGTCAAACGCCACCTGGTGGGGGCGCAGAGGGGTGGAGAGGGATGGGGAGGAGTGGAGAGGGTGGGGAAGAGGAGTGGAGAAGGATGGGAGAGTGCGCTGCCTCGCTATGGTCGCCATCGACATGCTTCCCAGCCGGTCAAACGCCACCTGGTGGGGGCGCAGAGGGGTGCAGAGGGGCGCAGAGGGGGGGAGAGGGGCGGAGTGGGGCGGAGGGGGAGGGGAGATGCAATCGAGGAGGTGAGCTGAGTGTAGGCTGGTGTGACTTTCTGCCGCCGCCGCCGCTGCTTCGCTATGGTGGCCATTGACATGCTTCCCAGCCGGTCAAATGCCACCTGCTGGGGGCGCAGAGTGGCGCAGAGGAGTGGAGAGGGGTGGAGCGGGGCGGAGTGGGGCGGAGGAGAGGAGAGGAGAGGAGAGGGAGAGGGAGGTGAGGGAGAGGAGAGGGAGGCAAGTGGGAGGCACAGGCACAGGCACAGGCACAGGCACAGGCACACACGCTACAGCGCTGCTAAAGATACAGACACAGGCATGCACTGACCTGCAGCAGCACCTCAGGGTCGTACTGCTGTGCTGTGGATCGCACCAGCACCTCCACCGCCATGTATTCGTGTTGAAGACACACACACGGTGCACTATGACAAGACAATGGAGCACACGCACAGCACAAGCACACATGGCACACATGGCACACATGGCACACATGGCACACATGGCACACATGGCACACATGGCACACATGGCACACATGGCACACATGGCACACATGGCACACATGGCACACATGGCACGGTGTAAGCTCGCTCACCTGCAGCAGCACCTCAGGGTCGTACTGCTGCGCTGTGGACCGCACCAGCACCTCCACCTGTTGTTGAAGACACACACAGGTGCACGATGACAAGCCCGTGGTGCACAGGCGCACACAAGGCAGCCCACGGCGGCTCTTTCATGGTCTCACCTGCAGCAGCACCTCGGGATCGTACTGCTGCGCTGTGGATCGCACCAGCACCTCCACCGCCTCCCCCACATGCGCCGCCTGGTATAGCTCCGCCTCGTTCATCTGCCATGCACAGGCGCCACATGGTGGGAGAGTGGCGGGTGGAATAGGAGGGGAGAGGTTTAAGTAAGGGGAAGGCCGAGCGGGGAGCTGCCTCTGCAAGTTTTTCCCACATGCGCTGTCTGGTACAGCTCCGCCTCGTTCATCTGCCACACAGGGGGGAGGTGGGGGGAAGGGGCAGGGGAGGAAGAGGGAGAGGGAGAGGGGATAGGAGGGAGAAGGCGAGGGGAGGGAAGAGAGAGTTGGAGGGAAGGAAGGAGGGGGAAAATAGGAGAGTATGGGAAAAGTGAAATCAGAGGCAGAGAGGTGAGCAGCCTCCATGGTCTCGGCCACATGCGCCATCTGGTATAGCACCTGAGGAAGCACCTGGGGGAGCACCTGAGGGAGCACCTGAGGGAGCACCTGGGGGAGCACCTGGGGGAGCACCTGAGGGAGCACCCGCGGAAGCATCTTAGCTCTGAATTTGAAATTTCTCAGAAGGACAGCTCTGCCCGATTCAACCAAGGGATGCATTGCATCAAGTGGGTGGAGGAACCTTTGAGAGTTCTCGAAAGTGAGGCACGCTGCATCGCAATACCATGCCATCGCATGCCATACCATACCACACCATGCCATGCGATGCACGCAGGGAGGGAGGGCAGTGTGACGCACCTTGAAGAGTGCGAGCGCCACTCGGAAGAGCACCTTGGCTCCCTCGTTGAACAGCACGTCCCACACGCGCAGCGTCGTCTGGTGGTGTGGTGCACACAGGGGGGAGAGATGGCGGGGGAGGGGGTGGTGGTGGGTTTGGCGGTGGTGGTGGGTTTGGGGGTGGTGGTTGTGGGTTGGGTTGGGAACCGTGGTGTATTCTCTAGGCGCCTCAAAAACCGTCCCTCGTCGAACAGCACGTCCCACACGCGCAGTGTCGTCTGGTGGTGCGCACAGGGGGGGTCGGGAATGGTAGGTTGGGGTTGGGGGGCATCGTAGATTTTGAGGCGCCTCAGAAGCCGTCCCTCGTTGAATGGCACGTCTCACACGCGCAGCGTCGTCTGGTTCACATGGGGGAGGGGGGATGGATGGTGGAGATGTGATGGGGATGCGATGGGGGATGGTGGGGAAAGGGCACAAGAGGCGGAGAGGTGGGGGCGGATGGTGAGAGAGAGGATGAGGAAGCAAAGATAGACAGGGGTGGGTGGGGGAGCGGGGAAGGGAGGGGAGGGGAGGAGAGAAGCAAGACAGGCACAGCATTGTGCAGCAGGAGCTGAGGTTGGGAAGAAGGTAGAATTGGAGAATTGAGCTAGCGAGAGATCGAACGAGATCGAAAGAAAGGGAGAGGGGCATCGTGGCAGGTACGTACCTCAGAGGGGAAGCTCTTGGCAAAGACGCAGAGGAACCACTCGGTGGCGACGTGACGAGGAAAAGAGTGACTGAGGGGGCGAGAGGGTTCAGTTCAAAAGCCCAGGCGAGGAGGTGAGAGAGAGGGACAAGGATTCAAATAACACGCACCTCGGAGGGGAAGCTCTTGGCAAAGACGCAGAGGAACCACTCGGTGGTGACGAGCGACGGCTCAAAGTAAATGGCGTCCAGATGCGCTGCTAGCCTGGGGGAGGGGCCGTGGCAGGGCGGGGCGGGGAGGGGCGGGGAGGGGCGGGGCGAGGAGGGGAGGGGAGGGGAGGGGAGGGGAGGGGAGGGGAGGGGAGGGAACGGGAGGGGAGGGGAGGGGAGGGGAGGGGAGGGGAGGGGAGGGGAGGGGAGGGGAGGGGAAGGGAGGGAGGGAGGGGAGGGAGAGGGAGGGAGGGAGAGGGAGGGAGGGAGGGAGGGAGGGAGGGAGGGAGGGAGGGAGGGAGGGAGGGAGGGAGGGAGGGAGGGAGGGAGGGAGGGAGGGAGGGAGGGATGAGTTTTGAGCAAGAAACATTCAAGTGTCGCAACTAGCCTACCCTGCCCGCCCAGAATTCTCCCACATGCCTTCCTCCTCCCTCACCTCCACCCCACCATCCCCACACCTCTCCCTTCCCCTCCACCCCCTCCCCCCTCACTTGGGCTGCTTGCGGTGCAGCAGGTCTTTGAGCACGCGCTCCTCTCACCCCATTTCCTCCTTCCACCCTTTCCCCTCTCTCTCACGCACACACTCTCCCCTCACCCGGCCATCACACCAAAGCCAACTCCTCACTCTCCCTCCTTCCCCACCCCCCCTCCCACCCCCCACCGCTCACTTGGGCTGCTTGCGGTGCAGCAGGTCTTTGAGCACGCGCTCCTCTCACCCCATTTCCTCCTTCCACCCTTTCCCCTCTCTCTCACGCACACACTCTCCCCTCACCCGGCCATCACACCAAAGCCAACTCCTCACTTTCCCTCCTTCCCCCCCCCCCCCTCCCACCCCCCACCGCTCACTTGGGCTGCTTGCGGTGCAGCAGGTCTTTGAGCACGCGCTGCTCCACGTGCACGCCAAAGAGGTCCTCAGCGAAGCAGTCGTCGTACAGCACGTTCTCTACCAGCGTCGCCAGCATCCAGAACGCGTCCTCCTCGCTGCGCATCACCAGCAGCAGATACGCTGCAACATAGTTCATGCCCTGGTGGGACATGGGAGTAAGGGCGGTAGGAGGACGTGGGGAGAGAGGAGGACTGTGAGTGTGAAGAAGGAGGATTGGAGAGGGGGTGGATCACCAGCAGCAGGCACGCCGCCACATAGTTCATGCCTGAGTTGAAATTCATGCCGTAGTTCAGCGCAGTTTACCAGCAGCAGGTACGCCGCCACGTAGTTCATGCCTGAGTGGGACATGGGGGAAGGAGGGGAGAAGGGGGGGAGGAGGGAGGGGAGGGGGAGAGGAGGAGGGCAGACATGGGAAAGGGCGCATGGGGTGCGAGCGATTCACTCAAACGGAGTATCTCTGAAGGAGTAAGTATGCCACGAGGAGCACCCAGCGCAGCGCTGGTTGAATGGGACAACTCTCAAAAGCCTACCTAACGGTGAGTTCCTAAGGAGCTTCGTACCTGGCAGTAGCCCACGTGGGTGTCTCTGAAGGAGTATGCCACGAGCACTCGGCGCAGCGCTGCCAGCCCCTCTGCCGTGTCCATGCGCGGATGCCCTGGGAACGTGCGGTGCAGGTCCTGTGATGCACACACACACGCACGCACGCACATACAGACGGACACAGCGATGCGTACGTGCGTGCGTGCGTGCGTGCACACACAGACACATACGTAAAAGCACGCGCATGCATGTACGCAAGCAAAAACACACACACACACAGACGCAGCGGCGGCGGCGGCAGCAGCAGCAGCAGTAGCAGGAGGAGAGAGAGGTTAGGCACGACTTAGGAGAGTGGGTTGGAGTGGATGGGTCTAGAGGGAGGGGAAGAAGACGGGGAGAAAACATGAGGGCGGGGGGATACTTAGACCAGGAAGTCAACCAAAAGCGTCATTAACATTCCCCCTTTCCAGACCAGCGAGTCCCTCATTCTCCCAGTGAGGTAATGCATTGCGTCAGAGTCCCACGTGCATCATCATGGCCAACTCACCCACCCAGCAGCATCAGTCCCATCCAATTCACACCCTCAACTCAACTCAACCCACCTGCTCTGAGGAGCCTCTCAAAACTCCCTCAGCATCAGTCCCCTGATCCCATCCCATCCCATCCCATCCCATCCCATCCCATCCCATCCCATCCCATCCCATCCCATCCCATCCCATCCCATCCCATCCCATCCCATCCCATCCCATCCCATCCCATCCCATCCCATCCACGCCCTCACCTCACGTCAACCCACCCGCTTTGTCATCCCAGCAGCTCAGCAATCAGCAATCCCTTGGAAACGACTGACTGCGGACGAAGCAACAGCGACAGAACGCCCATGCATACCAACCCACGCAAACCCCTTCAAACCCTTTCAAAACCCTGCAAGCCCTTTCAAGCCCCTTCCAAATCCCTACATTGTCGATCTGCAGAGTGTGGTCCGTCTCTTTGCCTGTCGTCTGCTCCACGAGCCATTGATAGTAGTCCACCGGCGCCACTGCCTGCTTGCGCCCCGCCCCTGACACCGCCTTCCACACGCGCGCACGCAGGTGCGGGGGAATCCCCTTCCTTATCAGCCTCTTGAGCGTTGCTGACGACACCGCCCCGCTGCCAAACGCTATGCTTGTGAGCGAGGGTGTGGTGGAGGAAGCGGAGGAGGACGGGCGGGAGGAGGCGGAGGTAGAGGAGGAGGAGGGGCGGGAGCGGAGAGGGGAGGCGGAGTGGCGGGACCGAAGCGGGGAGGCGGAGTGGCGGGAGGAGCGGAGGGGGGAGGCGGAGTGGCGAGAGGGGACGGAGGACGCGTGGGGGCGTGTGCGGAGGGGGGAGGCGGAGGGTCTGTAGGGCGATGGGGAGGAGCCTGAGGAGGTGCGCGGTTGGAGGGAGGAGGCGGGGGTTGAAGCAGAGGCGGAGAGGGAGGAGGAGGGGGAGGGGGACGGGGAAGGGGTTGTTGAGTCGGCGTGGTTGGTAAGGGAGAAGGAGAGGAGAGGCGAGGAGGCAGAGGCAGCTATACAACAGCCTAAGGGAGGGGAGGCGGCACAGGGTGGGGAGGAAGCATCTAGATCTGCGGCGGCGGAGGAGGAGGAGATGAGTGCTCGCACAGCAGACAGAGGAGGGCCAGAAGTGGCGGACGGAATGGCGACAGCAGCCGTTGGTGTGGCTGCTGCTGCAGTGGCAGTGGCAGCACCAGAGGTGGCAGGGGTGGCAGGACAGGGCAGGGAGGAGGCAGAGGAGGAGGCGGAGAGATGCACAGGACCATGGCACGAACTATCTCTGCTGGAAGCCTCGCTAAGGCAATTAGAGAGAGAAGACACAGACAGACTATGGGATCGTGAGTGGGGCTGAGAGTGAGGGAGCGAGTGCGAGTGCGTGTGGGAGTGGGGGTGGGAGATGGAGTGGGTGTGGGAGTGGGGGAGGGAGCGCGAGGCGGGGGTGTGGAGAGACGGGTTGGTGGCGATGGCGGCGTGGGTGCGTGCGGCCTGTGTGCCGTCCTCCACGTGGAACCAGTGCGGCCCTCTGTTGGCCTCGTGGCTCCACCAGACGCGGCTCCGCTCCTGCGCTCTCTTCTCCACCTGCTCATTGCACATCGGAGGGGGGGTGGGGGGGGGGAGGAGGGGGGGGAAGGGGAGACTTTTGAGTCGACTCAAAAGTCCACGTGGAACCAGTGCGGCCCTCGATTGGCCTCGTGGCTCCACCAGATGCGGCTCCGCTCCTGTGCTCTCTTCTCCACCTGCTCATTCGGGGGGGAGGGATGTGAGATACGAGGGCGGGCGGAAGGGAGAGAGTGAGGGAGGGAGGGAAGGAGGGAAGGAGAGAAGGAGGGAAGGGAAATGATGGGAAAGGAAGGGAAGGGAAAGGAAGGGAAGGGAAAGGAAGGGAGACAGAAAAAGGAAGTAATCGGAAACAGGAGTGAAGGAGGAAAAGGATCCATGCATGCACCCACCCATGCAAGCACCCATGCACACACCCATGCACGCACCCATGCACACACCCATGCACACACCTTGAGCAAAATGTCATCTTGCGATGTGTTAAAGTCGTGTTCTTAGGCATCTCAGAAAGAGACTCCGTGCACCCACGCACGCACCCATGAACACACACGCACACACACACGCACACACCTGGTTGAGCACAATGGCATCTTGCAGTGACACGAGCGTCTTAAAGTCGTGCATGTCCGTGAAGCTCACTTGTATCACTCCCCCGCCTCCACTGCCGCCCTCCTCCTCCATTGCCACCGGACCCATGCCCCCCACGCGCACACTCACTCCTGCTCAAAACTGCCACCAGTTTCACAGCTGCTGCTGCTGCTGCTGCTGCTGCTGCTGCTGCTGCTGTCGTATCACTGGGTTTGTGAGGAAACGCCGATGCTTGCAGCTGGCAGCTTGCAACGCAAACACCAAGTGAGGCATCCAGTTTCCGGGGCTCCTCAGCTCCTCTTTCTGTCTAAGTCCCAACCAGCTTCGCTTCACCGGATTCTACCAACCTCCGCCCCGCACCACTCCACTCCAGCACAGCCTCTGTCTAGCAGTCCTCTTTCACCAAGTCACCTCCCTCCCTGCATCTCCCTTCTCCCACCTATCCTCATCCGCCATCCAGCCCTTTGCAAGTTGCAACTGCACAACCGCTCAACCACACAACCGCTCAACCGCTCAATCACACGACCGCACGTTCTGTTATGAGAGAGCAGTCTGCCTCGCACTGTGTTGATTTACCCTTCTGGACAGCAGTCCGGACCGGACCCCCTTGCCCCCGGGTCTATTTCTGATCTGAACCTCTACAGCCGCTTCCCCCCCGGGCGAACCAAGCCAGTGAGCCCACAATGCTACTCTCTCCGTCTTCCCCTCCGCCTTCCGCTCCGGCTTCTCTCCGCCTGCTTCTCCGCCTGCGTCTCCGCCTGTCCCCGCCTGACTTGAGCTCAACACTCCGCGCCTCCGCGAGAGCTTCGACCGCGATCAAGGCAGGAGCCCGCCCCTGCTGCGCTTAGTGTCTACTCTCACTCTCACTCTCACTCGCCGTGTCTCCCCTGGAATCTACTTAGTCGTCCCTAAAGTCATCTTCGGCCGCGATCAAGGCAGGAATCTGCGCTGCTGCGCATAGTGCCTACGCGCACTCTCCCTCTTGGCCCCGAAATCTATCCGCAAGCCGCCGAAGGACTCAATCAGCGGTACAAAGAGGTTCGGTACGATTCCGCTGGACGGGGAACGGGGCAGGGGGGAAGGGACGGGAGACAGGGCGGGGAGGAAGGGGGAAAGAGTTGGTGAGAATGAGAGCGAGTGCTAGGGTTAGTGTGCGGTTCGAGGCTCGTGCTGACACAACAGGTCCGGAACGAGCGATTACAGGGCTCGGGGTGTTAGGCAATTCGACACGCTGAAAAAAATCGGGTGTTTCGGGTGGAGAAGATCAGGCATTGTGAATAAGTATGTATGTTGACGCCATGCAGGGGAGTATTTGACGGGTGCCGTGATGACTGGTTGATTGGCGTCAGTGCAGGGCGAAACCGCCGCACACATTCGGCAATCACCCGGACGCGTTGTCTCGTTTTGAGACCGTGTCCGCGTCACGACGCAGAGCTGGGGAGAAATGTTTCCAATGTTCGTCTCAATGGACGGCCAGAGGGGAATCGCTGGGTGCGTGGGGCGTGAAACGGCCATGACATGCTGATTCCCCGTGCGCGGAGAGCAAAGCGGCGTGCGCGGGGAGCAAAGCGGAAGGGAGAACGCGTACCGTGCGGGTCGAGCGCTCGTTCAGTCGCAACGTCAATCCCGCTGCGCCAATAGGGGGCTGATCTTCCGACAATGGTGGAAGGATGATGGGCCTCAGTCCACCGCTAACGGTCCGCTTGAGTCGGGTGTACGTAGGAGATGAAGCTGCTCGGAATCCCAACGAGTATGCTGATACACTGATAAGCTATAGGCTGAGACGCTGATAGGCTGAGACGCTGATAGGCTGATAGGCAGAACCGCTGATAGGCTGGTACCAGATATGCTGAGATCCTTCGCTAGCAACTGGGTAGTCCTAGCAGCACGCTGTTACTAGCAGGATCGAGTTCCCTGGGGAGTTTAGCAACCGGACCTAGCAGCGCATTGCACGCACATCACGCTGGTGTCACTCTTGAGAATTCTCAAGAGGTGGTAGTGGAGCGAAGGTTACTGCGCACGCATGTCGGTTGCGTTCAGTAAGGCGGGAGAGGCTGGTTCACTATCGGGGTACGGGAGACGAAATTTGGGGTGGGAGACTAAGAGCGTTCACGCAATGATCGACGAAGCAATTGACGAAGATACGAAAGAAATAAGAAGCGATCACTGCCGTTCACTGACGGAATCGGCAACGCAACACAGAAGCAACCTTCCACAGCGAAGCGATTATTTTCTCGTAATTGGTGAGACTAGCGCAGCACGCGATAACAATAAGCGCCTCTCAGCACACCGCGACCTAAATGCCGGTTACTGCTTCACATAACTGCAGAGGAGCACAGACAGATGTTCCTTTTGTTCTGATGATGAAGGTGCGCTGTGTGGTTAGTGGTCACTGCTCAGTCAGCCGAGTTGTTTGTGGTCAGTGTGCTTGTTTCTATTGGTCATTCTGCTCATGCTAGAGGGCGTCCCACGCGTTAGTCCCTGTACAACCCATGTTCCACGGTTTCGTTCGGTACGTTACGGTCCAGAAAGTACAAAAGCGCTGAACCGCTGGTTAACGCGTGGAATCCTATGGTACCGCACTGGACGATAACTGGATGGGTGGCTGTAACACCCCCCGACTAATTTTCATGCCATTTGGAGTGTCTGCAGCAACTGCGCCCATTCGTTTCTCCATCTCGGGCAGGGATGGAGACGCGATTTGGCAAGGGACCTAACTGCCCTCAAGTTCTGTTGAGGTGTGCGGAAAATGTCGTCAGAGAGAGACGGTGTGATACGTTGCGGTGCGGTGCACTCCTCTGCAAAAGATGGAGCAAGAAGTTGAACGGGCAGGGTTCCGCCGCTAGAGGAAGGGGCTCCCGCTCTGCGGGCGCCTGATAATGTGCAGTACAACAATTCAAGCATCCGCATGTATACGACGGTAGAGGGCAGCGGAAGCATCCAATCCAACCAAGCTGCTTGCCAAAGGAGGGCGGGGCGACTCGTTCCGCGCATGCCCATTGCTGCACTTCCTGTAAATTTTCCAACAGCAGCAGTTTGTTTCAGGCTGACCGTCTGGGTCAGAGACAGATGTTCCCAGTGGGCATATGATACACTATCATGTTTCATGGGGGGGTTGGTGGGATGGATGGATGGTGGGATGGGTGGGATGGCCAAACTTCAAAATGGCCTTGAGAGGAAATCGGGAACGTGTACTCCACAGAGCGTTTCTCTCAATTTCATACACTCGAGTGCAATACAGTTTGTTGCTCATGTGAAATACATAATCGTATAACATCCGTCATATCAAAAGTGCCTTGGAGTTCTTAGCCTCTTTCGAATGACTCTACGAAGGATCGTTCCGTTCATCATGTTTCCCGCCTCTGACACTTCCCTCCTGTGACCTTTCTGTTAAGAATTGAGATAAGGACAAAGGAATATGATTGCACACTAGAATAAGACAATAATGAACAGTGGAACTGTAGCATATGTGGATGAGCTTGATAGAAGAGAAGATGATGCTTGGAGCTTGTGACTATAAAGAGAAACTTGTGTAAGATGGAATGCTTGATGAGATAAGAACTTAAGAGAGAAGGAGAGTGTGAGCTTGTTGGGACAATAAGTGATGTGATACACACTTGCTTGAGTGAATCTTACTAGGGATAGTTGAAGAAGTAACTTGAGAGAAGAACTTGAACTTGAGGGCTTTACTTAGGAGTAACTTCAAGCCTTGGGTGGGATGATGGTCCTTCCTTTAGCTTGTAGCTTGGAGCTTTCCTTATACTCAAGTAGAGTATGAGGTAAGCGACTCTTCACTTGATAGCTACTTTGTAGGCTAGGTAGGAGATAACTTTGTGAACATAAACTTATATTGAAAGAGGTATAGTACAAGTCTTATAGATCCATGAGGGATACATAGGCATGCATAGAGAGAGTAACCATCAATTATAGCCTTGGAAGAGAGTTGCATGAGAGTGTCAACTTTGGAGATATAGAACTTTGTTGCTAGTGAGGAGCCTTTGTAGTAGAAGAGGAGCTTGAAGGAGAAGCTTGGGAAGGAGCTTGATGAAGAAGCTTGGAATGCATTGTTGTCATTAAAGAACCTTCTTGAGAAGTTGTAGAGATGCTTGATGTAGATGAATAGTGTTGGAGCATGTGGTGGTGGTTGAGCACTTGGTGAGTTGGAGTTGTAGGTCTTGTTGAGTTGGATGAGAGCTTGGATGACTTGGAAAGGAATGAGTGGAGGGGATAGCTGACCTTTGATGTCTTGGAATAGGAGGTGATGGGGTAATTATGAAGTCCTTGAGGGATGAGTTGGCAACTTTGTTGACTTGAGAAAGGAAGGAAGGAAGGAATAAATAAGAGGCATGTGGAGGTTGATGACTAGGAATTGGAAGCATGTGCTTGAAGGCACATGGGAGGAGGATAATTGGAGGGAGTAGATGACTTGGGTAAACTTTGATGAGTAGGAAAGGAAAGCACATGGAAAATCATGAGGAGTCATGTGCCTTATGGTGGGACTTGAGGATGAGTATGGAAAGTTGGTTTGAATATTGGTTGAGTTGGACTAGGAAAGGCTATGGTGGTTGGGAGTAGTTAAAAGGTGGTTGATAGGCTTGAGTTGGAGAGGATAAGTTGGAAAAGGAAGTTTGTAACTTGAGTGGTTGGAATAGGCTTTGGAGGAGTTGAGTGGTTTGGATGGGTTCTTAGGAAAATGTGTCGAGGGTGTTTTGAGGGGAAGGGGTTGGAGTGGCACAGTAGCGTGGCACGTGAAGAGCGTGCCATTCACAACACTCCCCCTCACTGCAAGCCCGTACCCTCAAATCCTGCCGCTGGGACTAACCCGGCTTGAACTCGGTTGTTGATGAAGATGTCGCGTGCAACGACCTTGGTGAGGAAATCCGCCGCTTGCTCACTCGTGCGGCAAAACAGGGGCTCAACGATTTTCTGCTCCACAAGCTCCCTGACGTAGTGATACTGCGTCGCGATGTGTTTGGTCCTCCCATGGAAGACGGGGTTCTTGGTGAGAGCGATCGTCGACGTGTTGTCGATGAAGATTGGAGTGGGGCTCTCTTGTGGGAGGTCCAGCTCCTTCAATAGACCTCTTATCCACA